CTCCTACCGTCGTGTCGTCGGTCGTCGTCGTCTCGTGTGGTGCGTCGTGTGTGTGTGTGTGTGTGTGTGTGTGTGTGTGTGTGTGTGTGTGTGTGTGTGTGTGTGTGTGTGTGTGGTTAAAACTAATGTTAGAAAACTAACAAGTTGCTTGTTTGTACTGCATTAGAAGGCACAAAAAAAAACTGCCATTACAAACTTCCAAAGGAAGGTTTGTAAATTTATACTGTTGAGTATCAATATACCCATGATATGTGCATTTCAGTTTCACACTGCTAGATTCTGAGTGCAGAAGGTTACTATAATTGTGGTTACTGCCAAAAATATTAACAGTAACAGTACCCAAGTGATGAAACAATGTATTCTAGCCTTTCAAAGAAGAAATATAACATTATATTTAATTAGCCATACTAATGACAAGGTTGATTTTTTGTGAAGCTCAAAGTAAATAATTTGCTTTGATTGGAAGTTATTAATCATTAAGATTGTTTCACATGCTGGTATACCTTGCCAGTTTCCTGATCCCCATTTGAGCTGCATGGCATATCCAAGCTAGGTATGAATTAAATAGAAATTACACAAACTGAAGCTGTTCTTTTTTCAGTCCTCTTTACTCCCTCCATTAATTAACCCAAATGTTAGGCCTATTGACTTCTATTGTCAGCTTTCACCATTTAAACTAACTTTTATTACACAGTGGCCATCAGCAGTTCGGTACTGCCTAGATATACAAGTTTTCACCTGTCTTCTAACTTTTGTGAAACATCAATACATATAATTTAACGAGGTTCGTAACCAAAGAATATTTGAAAACAAATTTATCAGTTAATTTGCAATAGCAAAATACTTTATTATAATACATATATACACATATCTATTAAAATTTTATACATGAACTAATAATGACACTGTTACAGTCAACTTAAGAGATGAAGAATTATTTTTCATAGAAGTAGTCCCAAAATTACTAATGCCTTCAAAAGTTAAGGTCAGAGCTTGTTGTGTAGTACTAAGAGTGTGTTTCTCTTTTGTTTTCAAAATGTTTATTGTATGGTGTAGGGTCACAAGACTAACTAAAGTTGTATTTGAAGAACTGTACTTTTTCTTTAACAAATATATTTTTTTAAATCATTCTATTGTGAATTTAAATTTCACATGAAATGATATCTCTGTGTAGCTAGTCATGATAAATTCTTTTACACATATGTCATATCCTATGTTAATCTGGTTAACTCCTGTTTAACCAGTTTTGTTTTCTAGAACTATTCCTTGGTACAAACCATTCCAATATACTCACATCAGGAACTTCCATCTCTCCATTGTTTATCTTTTCAATGATATCATGAGGGTTGGAGCCATCAATAGTGCATCCAACCGATTGTGCTGTCCCAAGGATTTCTTTCACTGTCCCAACAAGGTAACGTGCCATCGAACGAGGTCGCATTGTTCTAGCAATTTCGACAATTTCATCAAAGGACAGATTACCACTGTGCTTGACTGCAAAGAAAAAAAAAATTCTTCCCATTACCAACAGGAGCCTGATTTTAATTATAACCATGTAGCAATATTTCATTCCTTGCATCCAAATTATCTAAAATGTTGCAATAAAATATTAAAGTGTCATGAAAAAAAATACATGTTCAGCATAAAACAATATTAACATTGTAACACGCATATAACAAATCTATCTTTTTACTTAATGAATACAGAAATGCTTCAGTTCTGCTCATACTTCCAGGTAAGTTTAAATAAACCATGGAAATATTTTTGTTGCTTCCTCAATTGAACAATGTTACTTCTAGGTAATCATGTAGCAATGTTTCATTCCTTGCAACCAAATTATCTAAAATGTTGCAATAAAATATTAAAGTGTCATGAAAAAAAAATACATGTTCAGCATAAAACAATATTAACATTGTAACATGCATATAACAAATCTATCTTTTTACTTAATGAATACAGAAATGCTTCAGTTCTGCTCATACTTCCAGGTAAGTTTAAATAAACCATGGAATTATTTTTGTTGCTTCCTCAATTGAACAATGTTACGTCTAGGTAACGTACCCATTTATAACTTACCAAAATATATTTCCATAGAAGCATTTTATGAGCAATACAGATCAATTTAAGTAAGAAACTCAAAGAAACCCTTTGTTCCACCATATTTTCATAATGTTTGCAAGAGAGGGTTAATGTGATACTTTTGAGCTGAAAAAATAAATAAAAAGATACTGCACATTTTCCAGCAAGTTCCCATGAACTCCAAAACAATAAGTGAATTTCAAATGAGAATGAGGATCTTTAGATCACAAACTATCACAACAGGAAAATTAAAACTTCTGATAAAGGCAACATGCCACTTGGTCAACATTTTCAAGTTAATTAAGAAGAAACCACACTCTTTGTCTTGAAAAGGTTCAAATTCATGCCATACACTCAGAAAAAGATAAAACTTACGACTTACCATGCTTAACTTTCTTACGATCACGAGGAGGTTCTTTTAAGGCCCTAATGATAAGGGAAGCTGCACTAGGGACCACTTCTATTTGAGCCTGTCTGTTCTGAATAGTGAGTTTTACAGTTATCTTAAGTCCTTTCCAGTCAGCTGTAGCTTTGGCTATGTCATCACCAACCTTCTTTGGAGACTACATGAATAAAAAAGAAAAAACCCACAAATAGTCATAAGCATCAAATCATACTCATTATTTTGTTTAAAAAGGGGGATGGGTTATTATCTTACTTTCATCATGATTTGTTGTTTAATTATGCAAAAACCATCCTCACCATCTATAATAGCCAAATCAAAGAAATCTGGAACAAAAAAAAAACTATTAATTTAAGCTAAAACAAAATTGCTAAATATATATTACATGTATTGACCCTACTAAATAACCGACTCATGGATTATAAGTGCAGTATTTTTCTGTTGATTGCAGGGAGTTATCCCATATTAATAAATGTATAAATTATTACAAAAAAATTATTGTAATGTGTAATGTTCTGACAATAAATTGATATTAAAGTTATTTAAAAATGACAGCCAATAAAGAAATAAAAAATGGCCATTCACACCCAAACCAACTACTATTGTGCACGTAAGAAAATAATGTATGTTTAAATCGTATTCCAACCACACCGTGTTGATGATGCATTTTGCTCAATCCACAGCACTACTATGTTTATTGTGTCCCATCCAGCCAGATGAGCTATTAACCGAGTGAAACATAGCATCAACAATAGACATGGCTAACAGCGTGGTTAGAGTATTATCATCATTATATACTCTTCTAATTCTCCAAAATCCCTAAGATACTAGATAAAGAATGCAGCATTAAAAAACACAACAGACCTAATTCTAATGTCTAATGGCAAGTATACTTATGTTCAGTAGTGTTCCCCAAATCTTTCATCATCTATGCCACCCTTTAATAAATATGGTTTCTTGCATGCCCCCCTTTAAATGAGTGAAAGAGTGAATTAAATGACAATATATAATACATATATACACATTAAAATGTTATGTGTTATAGTAATCCCTTATTATTTTCATTAATAAAAAAATATTAAAACTTCTAATGTTGCATTACTTCACTACTGACTCTACCCTAATCTCTCACACACCCCAAAAATATCATTTGCACCCCCCCTTGGGGGCACACCCCACACTTTCGGAACACTGATGTACACGTTAATCTCTCTTCTATTATGTAATTCTGTAGTTTTAATCTCCTGTTCGTTTAGGTAGTTCTGTAGTCTTAATCTTTTGTTAACTATTTTAATCCAATCTCACAATTTACATATTTTAAGTATCTTAAGTAATTAAATATAAATGATCTTCAACACATTAAAAGTGATCACTTTTGACCAAATAATTTTTATTTTGGGCCCTGACTCATTTTATCTTAGAACCTTGAAAGTTATAACAAGAAGCACCAGCTGAAGATTCAGAAAGAATAATTAAACTTACCAATCCAAGAGGACCAATTTTTGGAGCAAGAGATGATGTTGCTCCAACTTCACCACCAACTGCTCTCAGATAAACTAGGGAAAAAAAGATAAGAGTCCATGGAGTGTTCTAACAATTAAAATCAGTGTTTAACACAAATAAAGAGGAAATACAAACAAAACATCAGAGGTATTTTATGTTTTCTCTCTCTTGTGTTTCCTAGATTTCAAGCAATGTTTTTGGCTTAAGCAAAGTGTAACTGAGAAGAGAAATTCTAGAAAACATGACCCATGGTAAAAAAAAAAACAACAACATAGGTTTCAGATTATGATTGTCACTGAGAATCTTTTTGGCAGACTCATTTTTGCCAATTCAGTGCCAAGCTAGAAATTTATGTTAAATCCTATTTGTATGTATGATACTCCTCAAATCCCAGTTTAGATCTACAAGTTAAAAGCTACTATCATACCCCTAAAGTTGTTTTGCACTCTTTGATCAGGGAATCAGCACTAGTCCACTTAAACCCCAACTTCACTGGTAGGTAAAAACAAACCTACTTATTAGGCTGATATCGGTCAAACTTTAAGATAGTCTTTTCAATACCCGAGAAACCTGCACTCTTTGATCACATACCCCAGCACTGATTTAACAAAACAGCAGCACACTTTCAATATTCATCATCACTCCATCTAACCTTGCTCTAAGTACTTCATAAATTATAGAAAAGATTATTTCATAAAAGTTACCTTATACTGTCCACAGGGAAACATTTTGTTTAAGTAGATAATAATTTACAATTAAGTGTTCTACACAAAAGATGTTTTTCAAAGTTAGTATACAACTCTGCCTTCTGAATGATGTTATTATCAGTGGATAAAATTAAAACCAAAAACAATTACCCCAAGGTGGTGTTTTAAACAAATTCAGTGCTATAAAAATTTGACACAGCCATACATCTAGGCCCATGATATTTAATAATATTTCTATAAAACTTACTTTACAGCAAGAAAATGGAAGTTAAAGTAGTTTTTGATTCATGCAAAAAAACAACAAGTTTCATCAATACTAAGATAAACCTTTTTAAACTGACATATAGTATTGTACCAGCTTGGTAATAAGTTTCAGGAGAAGCTTGTTTGAGGTTCAGCATTTTGAGAATTAAGGGTCAGATTAATACAAAATCATGCATACATTATGCAAAACATTCTTCCTCAACACAAAGATTACGGCATCATGCATAACAGCACGAGTTCTTACACTTCACAAAATACAATTTCTGTTCTTCAAAGCTCTTTGCTTTCTTCACTGTTTTTCTTCTCACATATCTGATGACAATCTGTGTAGATCATAGGTTCCCAAACTTTTTCCACTGACAACACCCTAACACACTTCATTTTTTTATTTATGCAACACCCCTGTGGCCACATGTAATATTCTTTATATGTTCTTATTCTTGGATGAAACTTTACCAATGCCCCTAGCATCTTACCACAACACGCAGTTTGGAAACCACTGGTTTATATATACAAGTATTGGTAAGACAAGCCATTAGATAGCCAGGACAGTGAACAAGCTATGAAATGAAATGAGTGGACAACCTATGAACACAGTGTGTGTGTATTATGTCTCCTGTCATGACTAACCAAAGAACACTGCATCACTGAAGCAAAATCTGGGTCAACAGAGCCTTCAATTAACCCTTTCCAGACAGGTTACAGTTGAAAGGCTATGTCATCACATTTGTTGACTCTCATTCAAAATGTTATTGAACTACTCTATTTCATGAATTTATATCAATAAGTTTGGTATCAAACTGTAAATTATAATTCAAATTTTAGTATTATACCTTACTCAATGTCTTAATTTAAAAGTAAATATTAAAAAAACACAGTTAAAAATTGATTTTTGTGTATCACGTGGTATGTTGAATGCAGCAATGGTTCAAATTAGATGTTTGTGATATCAAAATACTAAGTCTATAGTTTCATACAAATTAGGAACTCAAATTACCAATTTGACAAGCTAGAATATAAAATAAAAGCCTCTTATCTTTTCAATTTTCTAAGATACTGCTCATGTAATGAATCAAACAGTGGCACCACACCAAACTTTTCATTTTTTGGAAATGCTCCCTTATATACACTTACTTCTATATACAATATGATTAGCCACTCAAAAGCTCAGAATGTCCCCTAGTGGCTTACTCAGCCATTTTTACATGTTTGGATGCCACCCCTTTTCTTTGGAACTAAGATTTCAAGGAGGTAGGTTGCATCTTTAATCTGTTCAATTTTTTTTTCTTTTAGACTGAAATACAGCTTAGTTACTAAGCTTGATAAATTATAGCGGAATTCTATGATATTGATATAGTAATTTATGATTTTTTGGTTATTCAAGTGTATATGTAAAACCTTAAAAAAAATTATTTTGTTCCATATCCCCAACATGCATCAAACAAGTACAAAGGTCATAACTGGAAGAGATAATTGTTTGCTTTACTTCTTTATTTACTGTTCTATGTTTTAGAACTTATTTCTGAATAGCAATAATCTATATACATATATAATGTATAATAATTGAAATGTGACTATTTTACAAAATACTAACTAGTCTGCTAAAACACAGCCAAGACAGGTCACTTTGTAAAGACTCAAGGTCAGTTTTATATTACTGGATACAGTAACGAGTGCACATGTGCCACATCATTGTAACTTCTGTATTGTTAGCCAGGCATGGTTGAAAGGTAAAAATAATAATAAATATATATATATATATATATATATATATATATGTGTGTGTGTGTGTGTGTGTGTGTGTGTGTGTGTGTGTG